GTATACAGAGAATTGCAATTAATTCCATCTTCTTTAATGTGTTTCTTTATTTAGTCGCGGCCCCAGTCCTGTAACTTCCAGTCGATGCATTCCCAGTATGGAGAGCATTATCAGGACCCACAGAGCTCTCAAGGTATGTTTAAAATGCACACACACACACACACACACCCACGGACAACAACAAACACATTTCGTGCAAGTTTCCACCCCTCCAGCTCACTGCTTTAACCACACTGTGATTTATGATTTCTGCCTCCCTCATAATAACCAAAGCATCTCAATGGAGCTAATTGTGCCCTTCCCGTTCGGCGTGTGACTCACCACCCATTTGAATTTTAAACAATCGCCCCAGCCAATTAGAGCCGCGTTGTTAGCAGTGCAGAGCGGTGACCTCATTTGCGCTTCACTCTTTCATTAACTTGTTCACACACTCAGTCCGCCTCATAATCCGAAAAGCATTCTGTCAGGCCTGACAGTAAAAAACAGCGCGTGTGGAAAAAAACAATCTGGGTGTTGCTACTATGTGAGGGTGTGAGATAATTTCTGGAGTGTGACCTCAGGCATCACACACTTTCTGCGTGGACGGAGATTGTGTGCATCTGCCAGTTTGTGGGCTTGAGACCGTTCACACGAGACGAGAGAATGCTCCATTGTCAAATAAAGAGCGATAAAATGCTCTGTCTCCTTCGTTATGGTGGGAAGAACATTATCCACATCTATACTGTTCCCACTGGTAGGAAATATTCAGAATGTTTCTAAGTTGGTTTGTGCTGCTGTGCAACCAGAAACCAACAATGATGATTTTTGTGGCTGCCATCAAGAGTGTTCATTGATTTATGTCTGTATAACAGCTGAGAAAATTAAACTACAGCACTTGAACAAACCCCAACGACCTTCACTGTAGCACAGGATCAATTACATGTCAGGTTCTTTAAAAGAACCAGGTCTGCTCTCAGGGACACATCAAGGGATTTTAATGGCTACCGTTTTTTTGCTTGTTTTTTGTATTATTTAAAATCATTTTAAGTCAGGCACTTTTTGATAACTACACTTTCACAAGTGCTGCTTTGTTATTGTCTTTTCACTGTTTCTATGTCCACACTGGTCCTGAGAACCAAAAACATGTGCAAGAAAATATGTAAAGATTGGTTGCATTAAAAAACTTTAGGCAGCACAGCTTATTTTTTATTACTCTCCTTATTCATACATCCTTACTCTTGTATTTTTTAGACAGCATCTTCCATGACGACCCCTACTACAAGTCAGAAACGAGTCTGGACCGCTGCCCCTCGGACTATCCTTTCCGAAATGGTACCGTGCCCAATGGAAGCATGTACAGCAGCCCCAGCCTGAGCTCCCTCAACCACTCCCAGACCTTCGTCCCGCCCTCGCCGATATCCTCCAACCTCAGCATCCCTGGCAGTGAGCTCATGCGCCCCGACTACATCCCCAGCCACCGCCACAGCGCCATCATTGCTCCGTCCTACCGGCCCACGCCTGAGTACGATGCCGTCATGAGGCAGAAGCGACGCATGCCCCCCTCGCACCACGATCTCCACAGCCAGTCGCTGCGCAGCTTGAACATCAGTAACGCCTGTGCTTACCGCCAGCCTGAAGCTCTGGTGTACAGCCAGCCAGAGATGAGGGAGAGGGGCCCCTATCATGGCCTGGGGCCCAGCCCTGGACCTTACACACCACAGGTAATGCTGGATTGAATAAATTGTTCTACTCTTTGATTTTACAGTTTCTTGCTCTTGTCTAAATTTCTGTTATTTTTCTCCATCTTGCAGATCAGCTACAGTAAGCCAGTGTCCCATGGCCCTCATCAGGGAGGACCAGCCAATAGCCAGGGCCCCTGTCACTCACCCTGTGTCAACGGTGGTGGAGGCGGTGGCGTAGGAAGCTCCATCTCTCACACTGTCAGCACACCTGAGTTGGCAAACACCAAACAACAGGGCACCAATGCGGGAAGCTATGCAGCTACTGCCAACATGCTGAGAAACCACATGTCGCGACCTCCTCCACCTTACCCCTCCAGCTCCTTCCGCCCGGCCACCAGTACACCGGACCTCGCCAGCCACCGCCACCGCTGCATCGGGGGCAGCAGTCCAGAGCTGGTCACCCGCATGGTGCAGCTGTCGGTCAAGACCTTTCAGCCGGACAGCTCAGCTGTTGTGCACCAGTCCCTTCAGGAGGTTAGTGAACCGTTGACTGCAGTTGCTAAGCACCGCTCCACCTTGGGCAAGAGACACAGTATGGAGGTGATCAGCAGCATGAGAGGCGGAGGGATGGAGGGCTTGGTGATGAAAAGCATGAATGCTCCGCTTCATCGGAGGAATACTCTTAGAGAACATGTGATGCCACCTCAGCCCCAATCTATGCCCCAGCCCCAAACCCCTCAGCCACAACCGCAGCCCCAGCCTCCACCTCAGCCTCAACCTCTGCAGACAAAGGAGCTGCCCAAGCAGATACCTGCCCAGAAAGCACCTGAGGCTGCTCCACCTGTAGCGGTGGCCTACCAGCATCAAAAGACTCTTTCTAATGCTACAATGCTTATACACAGTAGTGAGAGTGAAGAAGAGGAGGAGGAGGAAGAAGAGAGGCCTGAGCTGGACATTCAAATCCCAGGCCTGAACGAAGACATCAGCATCAGCGCTCAGCTCCAGGCAGCTCTGGCCAAACTGCCCAACAAACCCCCTCCAGAGTACCCGGGTCCTCCCAGACCCCCCAGCAACTCTCAGATCCGCAACCACGCCCACAATCACAACCACACTCACCACCACAATCAAGGACCACAGAACAACCAGGGAGCAATGGACCCAAACCAAGCCCAGGGCCGAGCATTCAAACCTGGGCCGAGCCAGGGCGGCGGCGGTGGTGGTCCTGGAGGAGGCTGTGGTGCAGTTGCTGGTGGGACACTGACCCGAGGGGACCAGGGTGGGGTGAATGGAGCTGTTTTAGGTCCATCCATTTCTGAGCCGGACCTGACCAGTGTGAAGGAGCGGGTTAGGAAGGAGCCCGTCAAAGAGAGGCCAGTGTCAGAGATGTTCTCCTTGGAAGACAGCATCGTGGAGAGGGAAATCGCTCAGAGGGTAAATACATTTGTGCCAACATGGTTTTTAACCATTCATTTTATTTATTGGTGCTAAAATTGTGATCTTGATATTTTTGGATTCTATCCATATCTTTAGATGAATTGAAGATATCAGTGTGAAATTTTGTTATGAACTATTTTTTATGTTGACAAAAGAAAAAGAACTTGTACATACAGATACAGACCAAGTCATTTAATGTTGATATACCATACACATGTCATATACTAAGTATTCAGACCCACATATTAACATCCATGTACGCCAAACTGCACAAGCGACCACAGACTTAAATCCGTACATATGTACATAGAAAGAGAAATGTTTGATCACACATGCTTAGCTCACACGTGTTCAGCTACACACGGCATCTATTGCACTTCTGCCCATCCTTGGAGAAAGATCCTCACATGTGGCTCTCTCTGAGGTTTCTACCTTCCCCCCATTAGTAGAGTTTTATTTGGGAGTTTTGTTGAGGGTTAAGGACAGAGGATGTTGCACTTTGTTAAACAAACACGTGATTTTATAAAATAACTATTTAATTTAAATTGATTTGTAAAATAAGCAACTTGTTTAACGATAAAATAAAATAACCCAACACACTGATGGTACACTGAAATGTTGCAGTCTGTTGTTCGCTTGCTAATTTCATGGCTCCTGATTAGCAGTAATCCAGGGTTCAGCACCTGAGAGGGTAGCACTAGGCTCTCAGTCTCCCCATGCAGCTAAAACCTCATAAATCCCTCAGATTACTCTTTGGGTTGGTGCACTTGTAGGTTTGTTAAAGGAGCAAACATTTGATGCAGCAGCACAGTCCAGGTACAAGTTAAAATCATCCGCCTCACTTGTGGTTACGATAAACCTCTCTGCTCAATTCCAAACTCCAAAGCTAATATCCGTAAGTGGTTTATCTCATGTGTGTATATAGAGGGTACCCCTGGTGACACCCAAGCTGTTGTTTTGACTGTCTCACAGGGAGTGACGGGCAGGGTGGAGCTGTCCTGGAGGTTTAATAGCATCGAAGATTAGGAGAGGTAATCCTTAAGCAAGGAGGGGACTGTGCAATGTGGGTCAGAATTTGGTAGACAGGGAACAAGTCAGGGTGACAGAGGGACAGTGTGTAAAGACACGGAGGCTGAGGAGGTAGGTGGGGAAAAAACCAAGACAGGAAAGAATGAAAAATGTTTGAGGGAAGACAAAGGAAGGATGGAAGGGAAAGTTGGAGGCAGTGAGATAGATGAGAACTCTTGGTAAGTTTTGTATGCAGGGCTTCACCTTTCGACAGAATACAAGGGGATTGGTACGGCCTGGTTTAGCCTCCAAACAGGAAACACACACACACACACACACACACACACACACTGTAATGCACACGTGCACATGCACGTCAAACTCTCCCCACCCACTTCTCAACACGCACATATACATGCACGCCGCACTGCGCTCAGACCATGGCAGGTCAGTCAGTCTTGCGATGCTGCCGGTACCTGTAACCATGACGCCGGGATTCTCCTCTCTGTTGAAGACGCTGGAAAGGCAGAAGATGTCTGTGGACTCCATGAAGCGGCCGCTGATGATGGCTGCTCTCAACGGCCTCCACGTGGCTCGGATGCCGGTCCCCAAGAGTCCAGTGGAGGACGGCACCAAGGCTTCGACAGACGAACGGGTAAGATGCTGCTGCTTAAGAAAGTTGTGCTTCAGAAAGTAACTTGGAAAAATTACAGCTGAAATCATTTCAAGCCTCTGTTTTGTTTGTACTACATCACAAAATATATTATTTGCAGTTTTCATTTTAAATAAACTTTTAAATATAATGTCATTTGTAGATATTTTGTACTTTTTAGAGGCAACTCTTCACATTTGGTCAGAAAGATTGTAAACACACCAATGCAGACTGAAAATATAATCCTACTGGATTTACACAGATACTTCAAACCTAGACTAAGAGTCATTTTATTAAAGAATAACTCAAAATCTTTCAAGCCCAAATTTTACTTTTTACCAATTGTCTTTTTTTATCATCATTGGAGGATCCACATCATTAGAGGACATTTTAAACAGCAGCTTTCTCACATGTTGACAAAAAAGTTTAAATGCTCCTTTTCAAAATAAAACTCACACATTAATCATGTTAATTAAATTGGATTTTCCTTCCCTAGTTCTGGCCTGTTTTCCTCCCTTTTGAGCACAGAGATGTGAAAACCAGCCTTTGTCCCGACTGTTGCTAAGCTAACGGGGGCAAGCCCTAAGTGGGCTGTGGAACGCGTGGCATGGTGGTGCTTATCGCCTCTGGGCCCGCTGGTATGTTAAGAATGTGACCCGAGAGAGAGAGAGCGAGCGCTGCAGAGACAGTGATGCTACTCTCTCAAACATGACTGGCCTAACAAACATAGAGCCCCCAACCAGGATTTTTATATCACCACTGCATATTCTGCTCTTTTGCAGCTGCGGTGATGCATTATACAAGCTCCGAGTGTTTGAGCTCTGTATTCGGTTGTGAGTGAAGAGACATGGACGTATGTTTTAAGGGGATTTGTGGATTCTCCTGGTTTGAATGGTCTCTCAGCTGTGGTGGAATGTAAACGAATAAAAGCCCTTTAGGGGCGACTGAAGGAGAAACCCCTGAATAATGTGTTACTTGGTATTCAATGACTAACACCCCCCTTCCCTCCTCTTTCTTCCTCTTCTCTTTCTCTCCATCTCTCCAGTGTAAGACCTTGGAGTTGAAGCTGGAAGAGGAGCGGGTCTTCACCGAGTACGAGCAGGTGCCCAAGAAGAGGGGGAACTGCGCCCTCTCCACGGCGACTCTGCCCGAGAACACGGAACGCAACCGCTTCCGCGACGTGGTTCCTTACGAAGAGAATCGGGTCGAGCTTGTGCCCAACAAGGAGAACAACACGGGCTACATTAACGCCTCGCATATCAAGGTGGGCTCAATGGAGTCAAATGTGTAAAATGTACTAAAAGTCTAAAAAGGAATCATTTACACATGCATTCACCCATGAGGGGTGGGAGGTTTGGTAGCATACAGCATACCACTGTTTGGAAACCATGAATATCCAAATATATCCTGAATTTAAAATTAGACAAACTTAAATTCCAGATATGAAATCACATGCTGCAAAACACACTCAAGTGCATGAGTGCATTCAGGCGCAGACAGAGATTTCAGTGAAAGTGCACATAGAGGAGCATAATAATAAAGACTGGAGAAAGAAAAGTCTTATTTACAGTGACAATATGTCACCAACGGCTCCATAACATTCAAGTTTATGTGTACGGCTGTTAATCACAGTCTTTGCTGCACACACATCACACAACATGAAGTGAAACAAAGTGTATAAACTTGATACGTTCAGCTCTCTCTTGCGAGTCTTTGTTGTGGTCATTTCTAAGCGGGGGGAAAGGCTCGGAGGGAAAAGGATGAAAGGCCGCTATTGAAGGCTGTTTGGGCCTTTAAGCTCACAGAGCTCGTGGAATTCCCAAAGAATGCGGTCCAAACTCCAAAACCCTCTTAAGTCAGCCTGAGCTGCTCTCACCAGCTCCTCTATTCATTCTTAGTCGCAAAATGGTGTGCGCACACAAGCTCGTGCGTATGCATGAGTTTGCATTTCACGTGTATGCCAAATCGCGGTCCAGGGTGCGATCACTGCACTGAATCACCACCTATCACGGTGTAACCCTCTTACCCCCCCACCACCCCTGTCATTTAAGGTAGCTGCCGCAGAACAAAAGGCCTTGTTTACCCCCCCCCATCAGTCTCCTAATGCTGTGTTTACAGTCACAAGGTGGAATCAGCTGCAGGGACATGCTCATGATGTAATAGCGCGACGGGATGTGTTTCAGTGCCGTGTGCAGCCTTATGCTTATTAATGAGGGAAAACAAAAGGAAGTGAGAGAAGAGGAGTTGATAGTTTTATAAATGAGAGAAAAAGGATAAGAGGTGTTTCTGCTGCCTTCTAGTGGTGGATCAGATTATTGTCAGTGTCTCGAATGTAAAATATATTTTAACATTTAAATTAATTAATTCATTTCTCATTCAGGTTAATATGTGACTTTGTTTTCATTGTGTTTGCAGACAATTTATTCCACATGTGCAGTGTCTGATTGTTGATGTGTGTTTTCCCAGGTGATGATCAGAGGGGAGGAGTGGCACTACATCGCCACGCAGGGCCCGCTCGCCAACACCTGTGCCGACTTCTGGCAGATGGTCTGGGAGCAAGGGGTCAACGTTATCGCCATGGTTACTGCAGAAGAGGTACACACACACACACATGGCACATGCACATGTGGATATTTATCAGCGGCAGACAGCTGCCGCTCGCCTGTGTGTGTGAAATCTGATGAGTGTGAGAGAGAGTGTGTCGGGGTATCGTTGTGTTTATCTCTATTTTCCCTCATCCAATCACCGATCAATCTTCGTCCTCCCTGCAGGAGGGTGGCCGGTCCAAGAGTCACCGCTACTGGCCCAAACTGGGCTCCAAACACAACTCGGCCACGCACGGCAAGTTCAAGGTGACCACCAAGTTCCGCACCGACTCGGGCTGCTACGCCACCACGGGGTTGAAGGTCAAACACCTGCTGTCTGGCCAGGAGAGGACGGTCTGGCACCTGCAGTACACAGACTGGCCTGAGCAGGGCTGTCCTGAATACGTCGTGGGATTTCTCTGTGAGTGGGACATTTTCATCATCATCAAATTTGAGAAGCAACAAGAAGTGAACAAACACTGTGTCTTCATTATCTAATATCAATTAATAATAATGATTTTTTGAAATATGCTTATTCACTTTCCAGGTGTCCACAATTGTTAACGATATTCATATTCCCTCTTTATTTTGACAGACATGTTGCCCACATCTTACCTTTCTCTCCGTCTTCTCTCCTGCAGCGTACCTGGAGGAGATCCAGTCTGTAAGGAGACACACTAACTCCATGCTGGACACCTCAAAGAGCCTCAATCCTCCCGTGGTGGTGCACTGTAGCGCCGGCGTGGGTCGTACCGGCGTGGTCATCCTCACCGAGCTCATGATCAGCTGCCTGGAGCACAATGAGGTGGGTGGGCAGAGGGGGGCCACAGTCAGCGTTGCAGTATTTTCACAAACGTTCGGCAACGTGCCTGGAGTGTCTTTTTGGTACATGCAGTCTTGTCACTAAGTGATGCAGCTCAGCAGAATACCTTTTACACTACACATCCTTGTTTCCCACTTTTTCTTTGTACATTTCTCATTTTTCAATCACTGTCTGTTTTCTCTTTCTCCTCTCACTTCAGCCAATGGAGGTCCCCACCATGTTGTCGGAGCTCAGGCAGCAGCGGATGTTGATGGTTCAGACCATCTCCCAGTACAAGTTTGTCTACCAGGTCCTCATCCAGTTCCTCAAGAATTCCCGCCTCATCTGATCACAGGCTCCCGACCTTTGACCCCATCCGATGTGGCCGATGACGACAGCAGTACTTAAATGAAGCCTGAGGACCGAAACAGCTGATGTAGCCTCGGTCTGAAGCAGGTGCAGGTAGAAGCGACTCCACGTTCACCTTGAGGTTTCTACGCAGCAGTTGAAGGTTATGGAAATGTGTAGATTTGGGTACAAACTCACCTCACGAGGGGGAGGAGGTGTGTCAGCCTGTTTCAAAAACTGATGACGATTCCTCCTGATCAGTGTGTTTTCACATTTCATTCTTTTATCCCCTGGGATTTAATCTCGGACCTGATCTTTCCGCGTGGAGCATGTTTGTGCTTTTTCTCCGTGCAGGTCAGGTGAATAAGCAGCTTATCTCTCCTGCAGACGTGAATGTGTGTGTCTCTGCATTAATATCTTGAGAAATCATCACAAATCGGTTACAGTCTGAATAGTTTGCCTGCCTGTTACTTTTCACAATTTTCTCTTGAGCCATCATTAGAAATGGCATTACGCTGCATGAACAGTAGGTGGCAGCAGTATTATTACTAAACTCTTGGTATACTCTGAAAAGGTTTGCCAAACAAAACATATCCTTTAAATCACAGTTCTAAAATAACAGAGTATTGATTAATACAGCAAATATTTACTTCAACATTGTAACAAATGTTTTTTTTATTTATTTCTATCAATATTGACGTCACCTTTGCCATTGAACAGAGCGTCGACAGGTATGTCAGATCTCTCGTCTCAATTTTCTAAAAGCCTTTGTTGTGAATCTCAGACAGATTTGTGCGTTTTTTTTCTTCTGAAATGTTTGAACATTTCTATTAAGATTCCACCTTAATATGCAAAAACACAGAAAATACATTAAAAAAAATTATTATTTGCTTCTTGCAATAAAAAGTGTCTTGCCACATTTTTTTTAACCCTTAATCATTTCAAATTCTGTCCAGTTAATTGGAGATAATTTATAAATATAATTTCACCATTTGCATATTTGTGTCCTTATATTCATCAGATACTGTAGCATTAGGTCTTATTGACACATGAAACGAGCCTGGCTTGTTGTAAGGTCCTTGATGGATTCGCTAAATTCATTCCCTTATTTTATTTTGCCTCTGAAGATAAAATCTTTAAATCAGTATTTTATAGTTTGTATTTTGACAAAAGAACAATTTAAACATTTCAATCTCTTCGGTAAAGGTTTAGCAGCAGGAGAGTACTGATGTAAAACCCAGTAGATTAACTTGTTGCTTGTTACATTAAATATACTTTTTTTATTTTTCTGAATTGTAATGCAAAGCCAGCCGTGCCCAAAATAACTTTGTACATAACGGGCATGTGAGAGAAAGACATTTCTACAAATGTGTTATATAGTTTTTTTTCCTCTTATTTTGACTTGGTACCCCAAAAATACCGCAACATAATAAACTATGCATGCATTTTTATATTTCAATGTATATATTCTCAGATACGTATAAGCTCTCTCTTGACATGTGTAAGTGTTTTGTTGCACTTCAGTTCTCTTTATGACAGTATTTTTTTCTCACAAGGCATTCCACTGTTTGTTAATATTTAAGTTTTCCCCCTCAATTTTTCTTTTGGCAAAAACTCCTAAATACGTTTCAAAGTATGTGTACATATGTTTTGTATATGCGTTTTCAGTTCAATAAGTCCTTTGTTTTTCTCTCCCCTGACATGTATGAAGCTGTCATACTTGCTTATTATGCAATAAAGCCTTATTTTCTTTAAGAGTGACGCCACACATTTGTTTATTTAGGAAGTTTTGAGTCATTTGCTTTTACATCATGTTACTTTACCACAGGGCACAGAACATGTCAATAAAAACACAGTTCTGCATCCCAGCACTCTGGTGAGGAGCTTTAACAGACCCCTTGTGGTGAGGCAGCTGTCCCACACACATAAACGTAGATATCTCAACTCTGATGGATGACCATCGTGGTAGGGACGAAAGAAAAATGAAATCATCAACAGACTGGAAAATAACTTCTCCAACATGAGAAACTATGATGAACATGAGAGTAAAAAAACACTAGTGTTTCTCAACTTCCCAGTGAGAATGAAACTTCAGAAAATCGATAAATAAATGTTTCCGTAAAAACATGGACGCCTTCTCATCTTTTATCCAGTAACAAAAAGAGAACGAGCCCACAGTTCTGTAAAGCTCCTGGATGAAGGAGTGTATTCAGTCCATAGGGATCAGCCATGTCCTGTGATCTGTTCCTCCCTCTTCATTTTTGTGCAATCTCATTGCGCAGCTCTGCCAAGTAGAAGTGATCTTTCCCGTGAGCCACCTCCATTATGGCCATAGCCTGTGGGCACACAAAAAATGATTTTTTTAAAGCATTAAACATGTACATTATTTATAGTTTTGCTGGAGACTGAGCTGCACAACTTTTCTAGTATATGCTAAAATATGTCTGTAGCACTATCAGAAACTCAATTACTTAACCAGACAGTCTCTTTTTAAAATTTCAGACCAAATTACAGACGATCAGGCCAAAAATGTTTCCAAGATAAAAAAGTTCATATCAGTGATTATCCCAATAGATGTCACATTATTTTTTCTTTCAAGTTTAAAGACAAGTGAAGGTTGTTGTTTTAAACTCTTGAAAAGCCTGAACATTAAAGAGCCTGAACATTTGAACTCACTGTTTTTGCACAACACATAAGAAATACATCAATATTTTCATACTGTTATATTGCTACTGGTGTTTATTATATTGCTAATTAATTATATTGCTATAATTATTGTTTTCGTTTTATCGCCCAGCACTATTAAATACACGGCTGCTTGTATTTACCAATGTGTAACATCAGCAAACACAATTAGAAACATATTTCCATTCCTGTAAGTGAGTGAGATACTAAAATGTTTTGGTTCAGTACCAAAGCTCAGGTCTTGTACCAGCACAAGTGCAGAAAATTTCATATGATACCCTGACCCTGAAGATTATTGTTTCTTATTTTGCCAGTGGATAATTATTTTCTTGAGAGTCATCTGTGTCAAGAGGATGTGGTATGAGAGTATATTTATATGTACTTATATATAATGCAAGAGTGTCATTACCTTCTTGAGAGCGCTGATGCCCAACGAGGGCCTCTCCATCCCCATGTACAGTCTGCCCAACTTCAGGTACATGGAGGACACGTTCAAGGAGTAGGGGGGATAAAGCTGCCTGCAGGGACAGAGTGCAAGATATTTTACTCAAACATAAATATTCATCTCAAAAGTGTTTATTTGATCATATTTTTAAAAAGTTAGCAAAGTATCTTATAGTGCAGATGTCACATGACAACCCCGGCTACTTATTTCCTCTGGTAAAGTATCTTCTTCTTGTTCATTGTAATCATAATAATTGATGAAGGTGAAAACCTTTTTAATTAATCATTTAAATTATTCAGGTAGTGTCAAAACTGACTTAAATTAAATTAATAATAATAATAATACATTAGATTTGAAGAAACTACTGAAAGGCAGAAAGTATTTTTGTTTTCTTTGTACTTGTAAGGTTTGAGGATCTTCTCTCCATAGCTGATGGCTCCGTCTGGGTCTCCCATGTACAGACAGACGCCCATGGCCTGGTACATCATGTGGAGCATGTAGATGTTGAAGTCATCAAAGACGGACCCCATCTTATCCAGGGTCTGTTCACACATCTCCAGCAGCTCACTAGGAGGTGCTAGAGTCAAGGCTGCATCAACACGCTGAGGAAACAGCCTTTGCTCTACAATCAGATATTTAAGAGTCTGGAAAACTGCTCTGCTGAAGAATAAAGTCTACCATGAGTAAATATACGAGTAAAGCAAAACTTTATCTCAATAATTATTTATAAAAACACTATAGAGCCCATAATAGAGTGTAAGCAGAGGGAAAATTACTTAATGTTTTATTATTATTAACATTATACAAGCATATTTAAATCTTTGTCAACTCTGGCACTCATTTAACTAAATATACCAAACGTGCAGTCAAACACAACAGAGCATGTTACTGATGCCATTGAAGGATATATTTAACGTGTTTGAGGGCTCTGAACTCTCTGATGGATTTCCTGGCGTATCGCACCATGTTGATGACGACCTCTGGCTCGATGGGGTCACTCTGCTTACGTACTTTCAACTTTTTCTTGTCCTGAAAGTGAAAACAAAGCCAGAACTTAGTTAAACAACAAAGTGCTCAGTGTTGGTTCTCAGGAACCTATTTTTACTGGGCCTTACTTGGGACTGACTTTTACATTCCTTGCAGTCACAAGTGAAATAGTAAGACTCTCTCAGTCGGTTGTTGCGGTCGTCTGTTGGGTAAAGGAGGTCTATGTAGCTGATGAGAACCTGCAGGTGGAGACGACACATGAAAACACAGCACATGAGAAAAGGATGTAGCAACTGTTGTTTGATAAAAAACATTTAGCATGTCTCTAGATTGACTGTCCTATTTGCTGCAGCAAGTTTCCCCATCGTGAGACTAATAAAGGATTTTCTTATCTTCTTTTTAACATACTTTATTTTTAAGGAAAGAGAAAAACAACCAAACGTATTTTAGCAAACTGTTCACATTCATACAGACGATATAATGGATAGAAATCTTTTTATCCCAGCACTTTAAAAATTGAGCAATTTGCAAATATAGCGATTCTTCTCTTTTCGGTTTGAGAATCCATCTGTAGCCATTTTTGTGTTAAAGCTTTTTCACTAGCAGCTAATATTCTCTTCAGTAGATATTTGTCTGCCAGTCATAGATGAGCTGCAATGTAAATAGATTAGTAGATTAATACTGTATAAAATAGACTAATAGATAAAGGATTAAAAAATAGATTACAAATAGATTGTAGAGAAGAAGCAATAACTTCCTGTATTACTTATATGTTATGGTCAAACTGCTGGGCAGCTCCTGAATATATGGAAATGATCATCTAGCTGCTCTGTATCTTCTCTTCTCTAAACACAAGTCATTGGATCTGTTTGCTATGCTCTGATGAAGCTGCTGGATCAAATCAAGCTTACAGACTGTAATACAATTAGCAAATGTTTCACACACTCATCCAGCTTGTAAGCAACACGGTGCCCTCATCCACAAAAAAAAAATAAAAGGACCCAACCCCCTCTAAAGCCAGCTGTCTCCTTTCCTCACTTCATCTCCTGGCTTCATGTCCCGCACGGCCCGAATCTCAGCTGACGTCCCCTTGTATGTGACAATGACGCTGGGAAGACAGCTGTGGTTAATCAGGGCCACACTGTGGGTAGAGACAAACAGACAGACAGAGAGAGATTAGAGGAAAAGCACCACTCTCTACATCCCCTTCCTTAAAATGGATGAAGTGGGAGCAGAGAGATGTATTATTTCTCAGAGCAATGATAACACTGTGACATAACCACTTTATTTTGAAATGGTTAGGCTGCCACTGTGCCTACAGAGAGGCGTTTGTTGTCCCTGAAATGGTAGTGGCCTTGCAGTTACCTGGGTGGTTGGCTGGAAATAGCTCAACAAGGAGCTGAGAGGGCAAATTCACCTTCACATGGCAAACTTAAAAACATGACACCCTCAGCCACGGCAGGGAGTTGGGATTATACCACCAAAGACCAACTGGAGGAGAGAAGTTGTCTTGTGGCCCCTTTGGATAACTGAACACTGACTTTTGATACAAGATTTCAAAGTAGTGCCTCAACTACAGTATATGGTAAAAACAAGTACTTTGTATTTTGGCAATTGAATGCATCTGCAATACATAAGGTGTGAATTATGGTCTGTGATTGACAGCTGGTCCAGTCCAATAGGTGTAAGTCACAGGTGTAGGTGGTACATGGTATGGTTCCCTCTTTCTAAAAACGAAGATGTTAAACTCAAGGCCTCATAAGGGCAGTTCACAAACAAATGGGTGAAATCGCAGTGGGTTTCCACTTGGGTCAAAAGTTTCAGACTCTACTGCTTTGACAGTACCTGAGGTTATAATACCACATCTGAGCAGCGCTGCCTCCTCAGGACAGACTGGATGCTACATTGACCCGCTGGCTAGCAGGTTAGCATGCTAACTTCTTCAAAGTTGACATGGCAAGTAAAGGAATGGAGTTTGACACTGGACATGCAACGTTTCTGCAATTAGTAGTAAGTAGCTGCTATTGCGAACACTGGCTATGTGCAATAACAAAAGTTATACATAGCATCTTTTGAGAAACTTAATCACAAAACTATGAAATTAATTTTAAATCAACTAAAAACCTCCATCAGAGATTGTGTAAGGAACATACGGTGCAAAAGGTACATGGAAATAAAAATGGGATTGTATGAATGCATGAGAGTCTTTGCTCTTACTCTGGGTAGATTGCTGTGCCCATGTGGGATAGTTCATCGTCCTCTATTGTGAAACCATTACAAGCAACCTGAATAAAGGACAAAGAGAAAGAGAACAGAAACTCTGCTCATGCATGTGTTCACCATCCTTTGATTGTTTCACAGTGACTCATACATTGTGTGTGGTACCTGGGAGAACAGCGTGAGCAGCTCTTTGTGGTCAGGAAAATCTAAGTGCTTGGAGAAAAAACGATACAGTCCGGCGATGTCTGCCTCGTTCATCTCTCTTTTCTCGTTATCTACATCCTCCACGTCTGTTACAGAAAAAGGAGGAAACATCTCAATTTGATTGTATTAGTTTGGATGCATTACTGACAGCTGACTGAAGGTATAATTACTATTTTAGTTTTGGGTAAAACCATACACTGTATATGTATATTTGATGGGCCCCTGGTGGCTGGCTGCCGAATAGGACACAAACCCCACCTCCTCCATATTAGTTGATGGGACACGGACCAAATCCCAAATTTAAAATATATGTTAAGTACAGTGCTCATTTTCCTGGTTAGTTTGGTTTTGATTAGTTATTTGAAATTTCATGATTGACAGCTGAGACTGACTTGTGATTGGTCGAGCACGTGTTTCAATCATCAATACTTCAGATTCTGGATGACATTAAAAGATGACAGCGCTATAGTAGTGGCTTGTTTTTTGTACAAGAGGAAGTGGAGATGCGTCGTTCATCTTTATATACAGTCTCTGTGTAACACTCACTCCATTTCAGTCTCAGTCTCTTCACACGTTACGCATGAATGTTCAATGTGACTGGAAGTCTTAAGTTAGACTGCATTGCTGTAACTGTAGTAACCCCATTTGTGTCTGGATTTTAATCTCCATAAACAACTTGAGCAGTATCCATGCTACATGGCAGAGAGACAGGCAGTAGATCAAATTGACTTCCTCTGAAGGTCTTTGCTGGTTAAGAGAGCCTTTCCTCACCTCCACACTGATAAGCTCTAACACTTTTAACCATACCAGGATAAACAGCTCTCCTTCCTTCATCTGTCTCCCAAGGCCATATCACATTGTCGCCATAGATACTAATACCTGCCAGAGTGTGTGTGTGTGTGTGTGTATGTCTTGTAACCCTAGTCACTTTATCATTGTACATCACAAAGGTCATGAAAACACTGGATTACACACAAACATAGACACACTAAAAAACTGTGTGTTTTTTTTCCTAACTACACTTAGATACAAAACACTATACTGTAGTATAACTGCAAATATTGCTAATGATTTCTTTAAAATATGTGCAGAGCAA